TTCCTTTCTGGTCTATGTTGCTTTTAGGCTCTCTCTTTGCTTAGAGGACCCCTTTCAAGATTTCTTGTAGGGCTGGTTTTGTGTTTGCAAATTCCTTTAGTTTTTGTTTGTCCTGGAAGCTTTTTATCTCTCCTTCAATTTTCAATGACAGTCTAGCTGGATATAGTATTCTTGGCTGCATATTTTTCTCATTTAGTGCTCTGAATATATCCCGCCAGTCCTTTCTGGCCTGCCAGGTCTCTGTGGATAGGTCTGTTGCCAATCTAATGTTCTACCATTGTAGGTTACATATCTCTTGTCCCGAGCTGCTTTCAGGATTTTCTCTTTGTCTCTGAGACTCGTAAGTTTTAGTATTAGATGTTGGGGTATTGACCTATTTTTATTGATTTTGAGAGGGGTTCTCTGTGCTTCCTGGATTTTGATGCCTGTTTCCTGCCCCAAATTAGGGAAGTTCTCTGCTATAATTTGCTCCATTATACCTTCTGCCCCTCTCTCTCTTTCTTCTTCTTCTGGGATCCCTATTATTCTAATGTTGTTTCGTCTTATGGTATCGCTTATCTCTCGAATTCTGCCCTCGTGATCCAGTAGTTGTTTATCTCTCTTTTTGTCAGCTTCTTTATTTTTCATCATTTGGTCTTCTATATTACTGATTCTCTCTTCTGCCTCATTTATCCTAGCAGTTAGCGCCCCCATTTTCGATTGCACCTCATTAATAGCCTTTTTGATTTCTACTTGGTTAGATTTTAGTTCTTTTACTTCTCCAGAAAGAGTTTCTCTAATAACTTCCATATTTTTTTCAAGCCCAGCTAGTATCTTTAAAGTGATGATTCTGAACTCTAGGTCTGACATCGTACTACTGTCCGTATTGAGTAGGTCCCTGGCAGTCGGTACTACCTCTTGTTCTTTTTGTTGAGGTGATTTTTTCCGTCTTGTCATTTTGTGCAGAGGAGAATAGATTAATGAGAGAACAAAATGCTAGCAGAGTAACCATGTCCCCAGAAAATATACTCTAAACAAATCAGAAAAGACCTGAAGCAGTGGAAAAAGAAATGGAAAGAAAGAAAAAAGAAAAAGATAAAAACAAACAAAAACAAACAAAACAAAACAACGACAACAAAAAAAACCAGAATGTGATCAAATATGATCAGGCTGGTATATAGATCAGTGCCACACACTAGATTTGGGGTGTATTTTGGTCTGTTAGAAGAAAGTGCCTCCCAAAATTTTAAAGAAAGAAAAAGTTATATATGTACAAAAATAAGGGTTGATATGATGAAGGGAATGAATATGACTGTAAAGATGGAAATTATAAAAAATTTTATAAAAGGAATTGATAAGAAGTTGTTTGAAAAAAGAAAGAAGAGGATTTAAAAAAAAGAAAAAAAAGGGAGAGAATGTGATTAGGCAGGGGAGTAGAAAAAACCATATACTAGAGATTTAGGGTATATTTTAATCTGTTAGAAGAAACTATCTCAAAATTTTAAAGAGAGAACAACTTATATATATATGTCAAAAATACGGGTAACTACTATGAAGGGATAGAAAATGACTCTAAAAATGAAAAATAAAAATGTTTTTTTAAAAAAAAGGGATTGATAAGATGTTGGTTGAAAAAGGGAAAAAGAAAAATTAAAAAAAAAAAACAGTTAAAAAAAATTAACTTTGAAAGACTAAAGAATCATGGTAAAAAAGCCATGAATTCTATGTGCAGTAGTCCCGTAGCGCTGGAATTCTGCCGTTCTCATTGATTGGTAAACTTGGTCTTGGCTGGCTGTTCTCGCTGATCTTCTGGGGAGGGGCCTGTTGCCGTGGTTTCCAAATGTCTTTGCCGGAGGCGGAATTGCCCCGCCCTTGCCCCCTCTCGGGAGCTTTTGTTCCCTGCAAGCTTTCCGTACAGCTTTGGGGGCGGAGAGTGAAAATGGCGGCCTCCCAATCTCTGCCCCGGAGGAGCCGAGAACCCAGGGCCCTGCTCCTCAGTGAGCCCCCAGAGAAAAGCCGTCAGTCACTCCCGTCTCCCCGGTCTCCGGCCGCACTCCATGCTCACCCAGCCTGTGACCGCGCGTTTCTATCTCTGGCACCTGACCCCGGGTGGAGTCTCCAAACCCAGCACATCCCTGCGGTGCACTCCCGCACGGCTCTTCCCGGGGGAGGAAGGTGAGTCTCCCCGGATCTGCCGCTTGTTGGGTCCCTGCTGGAGGAGCAGGGGCCCGACTGTGCCGCGGATCATGGTTTATGGCAACCCCGAGCTGAGAGCCTGTGCCTCGGCTCCGTCTCTGCAGCCAGCTTCCCTGCTCCGATACCTGGGAGCTCTGCCACACTCAGGCACCCCCGGTTTTCTGTGACCCTGAGGGTCCTGAGACCACACTGTCCCGGAGGGTTGCACCCCCCACTTAGCCACCCGAGTGACGTCCCTCAGCGGAGCAGACTTTTAAAAGTTCCGATTTTGTGCTCCGTGGTTCTATCACTTGCCAGAAGCAGCCGACGGAGGCCCCTCCCCCGCCATCTATCCTCCCGAATATCGCCTCGGATTCACTTCTCCGCACGTCCTACCTTCCAGAAAGTGGTCGCTTTTCTGATGAGAGAGTTGTTGCTATTCTTTTCTTCGATCTCCTGTTGAGTTTGTAGGTGTTCAGAATGGTTTGATCCCTATCCAGCTGAATTCCTGAGAGGAGACGAAATCCAGGTCTCCTACTCCTCTGCCATCTTGCTCCACCCCCCCAAAGAATATTTTTTAATAGCCAATTTTAATCACATTTTCTAACTTATTATTGCTGGTATATGAGTAAACTAATGATTTTTATGTATGTATTTTAAAATTTGCAGTATTTCTCGAATTTATTCTAATTTTTAGTTGATACTGTTTTTTCTAGGTAAAAAAATTTTATACCTTTTTTCCAATATTAATGCTTTCTGTTTTATATTCTTTTATTTCTTTGGCTCTAATTTCTAGACCAGTCCTAAGTAATAGGGTGAATAATATGGTATTTTCAATTTTTCACCAAAATTAACCTGGTATTTTCTTCTTTTGAATTTTACAAAATTAAATGTCTTCTTTTTGTGTGCTATTTTATTGTTGCAAAAACTCTGACATGTAGGAAGCCTTCAGTTACCTTTCCCTTTGCATGATCAGCGAAGTCCTAGGGGGCTCCCTTTGACTGAATCTGAGTTGAGTTCATTCACAGGCCCAGGACTCTTACAAGTTGTAAACTTGTGAAGTGAGCAAGGCATGGGAGTTCAGGGGCATTTTCTGTACATCTCTCCTCAAGTTGGCCACTTTGGCCTAATGGTTACGAGAAAAGCCCATACATTCTAATAGCTGAACTAGAATAGGGAACCCTTACAAATATCATTCTGTAGCCTGAGAACTGACTACCCTGTAACTTGCAAAATGATATGATCCACTTGTAGTGTCTATTGTATTTTTCTGGCTTGTATCAATTGAGAGAAGAAATACTCTAAAATCACAGATCATTTTGTTATTTGGAATCTTTTAAAGTTGGGAGGTTGGGAATGAGGGGTATGATTGCTCCTAGACTTTAATCTGTCCCCTTAGGTGAAGAGAGGTTTGGAATAGACCACGGGGAGCTTCCCCCAGCAGACACTCATCCTTGCTTTTCCCTATCTGTGTTCTCTAAAAGGCATATCCCATTCCCATTAGATGACTCTATCTTGACCCAGACAAACACCCCAAAACTGTGTGGTCCCTTAGCTCACAGGGAAGCCAGCTTTTCTGATAATTTCATGAAATGTGCTGGCCTAAAATGTGCCTCTGACCTGAGAGAGGCCTACAAGTCCCATATTATTGCTTCACAATAAAGTATTGAAGACTCTTTAGAGAACTCAGCTCCTCATTGGAAGACTCATTGCTTCACGTTAAAGTATTGAAGACTCAGATGGTACCTTCAAATCCAGTAGGGGTTACCCCATTAAGCTGGCCATCATCTCCTTAGCAGAAGTTCCAGATGGGCCAGGTGGTTCCCTAGCAGATTGTTGAGGGACAGGTGACAGGGAGGGTTTGATCTGGTGGGGCAGGGGGTGGCAGTGGTTTGGCAGACAGTCCATGCGGGGGTTCCATTACACACCCTACATACCGAGAGGAGGCTGGATATTGGGGAGGGAACAGAGGCCTGCCACAGACTCCTGGTGTAGGTGCCACTTTGCCTGTGGCATCCCTGTCTGGCCCTCTGGACACTTGCTGCTGCCTGTGTTGTCTCTCTTCTCCAGTCCCCTTCCCTGGTGGGTTCCCCCTTTTGCTCTCCATCCCTGCTCAGTGCTTTCTCTCTCCCACCCTCCTCTCTGCACCCTCTGTCATGTGTCCCTGCAGCTCCTGGCACCCGAGAAGGCACCCAGGAAGGCATCCCGGGCATGTCCTTTCTCACAGCTGCCAGGCTGCCAGTCTCCCCGGAAAGCTTCTCTTCCTCCGTGCTTCATGCCTCTTCCTTGCTCCATCTGTTTCCACTTTGTGCATCTATACTTGGCATTGTCTGCATTGCCAAAGAATTTAAGAGGGTTATCCAAAGCTTTTTGGAAGGCAGCTATGCTCACCACTATACCACCAACGCTCCAAAGCTTTTTGTACCCACAACTCTAAATAAATGGAATTGGATTGGGTCATTTTTTGTTCATGGATGGAGCCAGAAACTTAAAAAGCTTTATACTTGCTGAGTTTATTTTTATTCAAAATAATTTTATTTCAGTAAATAAATAATAGGAACATGAATTTTAAAATACTAGCCATATTGTAAATTACCACACTTTTCTATTTGAGGATGTTTGCAGCTATAATCAATATATAAGAGAGAAAGAGGGAGACCATGGGTGAAGATGTAAGGGCGGATTGTTTTTGTATGTCAGATCCCAAAATGGATAATAAACCATTCTTTGCATCATTGCTTAGGATCTTTTCTTAGCTCCTGCAATACTGATTGGTCTCTGTTTTTGTTGTGTGTTTTGTTGTGTGTCCACGTGCCTGTGTACATGATGGGCTGCGACAACCCCAGGACGAGATCCTGACCGTTATCAGAAGAGTGGATGACAACTGGGCAGAAGGCATGCTGGGAGACAAGATTGGGATTTTCCCCTTGCTATATGTGGAGGTAAGATCACTCTCTCAGACACGCTTCCTCTCCCACCCTGCTGACTGTTTCACCAGGCGGGGCAGGGGGCAGGGCTGGGCTCCTGGCCTGGGAGCCCCTTTTCAAGAGGGGAAGATGGGGACTGTGTTGGGTTTTTGTTCAGACTGCGGTGCTGTGAGAATTGCCTCACAGCTCCTCAAATCGACTGTCCCAGGCCTGGCTGCAGACCGCCTTACTGTATGGACAGTGAAGGAGGGCTCAGATGCAGGCTTTCCCCACTTCTCATGGAAATCCCGTGCCGGCGCCCACTGCCCCCAGACTCTCCTAGGTACTGCTGCTCTTGTCTCCCCAGTCCCAGAGGAGAAGGCAGTATTCCCCGTGTCCCTGCAAGCAGAGCTGAAGGATGCTGGCTCTAGTGGGCCATTTGTAGTCCTCCTAGGACTTTGGTAACCGGGCAGCCCATCCAACTGCAAGTCCCTAAAGCAAGGATGATTAGGGGTCTAGTCATTTCCTGTCTCCTTTCTGTAACGAAGAAGCACTCGGTTTCCAGTGAGTAAGTTATGGGCAGTGGCTGAGCTGGGAGCATCTTTGAATGTTTGACCTGTAAACCCCTGTTCGCTGTGGGCTGTTTGTGTATGTGCAGGACTGTTTGCTCACTGTGTGTGCGTGTGCCATTTGTCAGTGCAAATCCCATGTGTACACCCATGAGCCAACACACCCTTCATCTATTAATCCCCGCATTTAGCCATACGAATCATTTCAGCTAATGCGTACTGCATGCTCACTATATGCCAGCACTTTCAAGTACTTGCTCATTTAATTTTCTCAACAACCCTGGCATAAGAAAGCCAGGAATGTCCCCACCTTAGAGATGAACAAATAGAGGCACGGAAAGGTCCCCTGGCTGATAAATGGCAGAGCCGGAACATAAAAACAGGCTGTTTGCTATAGACTTAGCCCTTCACTGCCCTGCCCTCCAGTACCCCCACTAGCAGACTGTACTTCACGCAGCCTGGTGCGGGGCTTCACGTGCTGGTAGGTGACACAGCCGGCTTTGCCACACCTTCTGCATGGTGTGTGGTGCCACTAGGTGTTTGTTAAACACATCTGGTGATTCCCGTCACCGCAGGATAAAATCCAAATGCTATGGTAAGACATTCACCACTCTTTGCAGTTTGACCCTCATCTGTTTTTCTAGTCTCATCTCTGGTCATTTCCTCTCCTTTCCCTAAATGCTCCAGGCCAGTGGTTCTCTCACAGTAATTCTGGATAAACTGCCCAGGAGATTCTGAGACCCTCTCACACAATAACTCTAAGTCCACACACATACAAACACACAGAGCTCACAGAGTCACACACACAAATCTGTATGGACTCATACACACACTGACACACACTCTCACACACAAAGCTCACACACACACACCCACGCCCCTCCCCTGTGCCTTGTAGGAATCAACATTCCCCAAACAGCTTGTAAGCTTCCATTTGTGCATTTGGTCCAATTTCCAGGGGTGTGTTCTTCATCCTGCTGCTTAAGATCGAAGAACCTGGGTGCCTGGGTGGCTCAGTTGGTTGAGCGACTGCCTTCGGCTCAGGTCGTGATCCTGGAGTCCCGGGATCGAGTCCCACGTCGGGCTCCCTGCTCAGCAGGTAGTCTGCCTCTCTTTCTGACCCTCCCCCCTCTCATGCTCTCTATCTCATTCTCTCTCTCAAATAAATAAATAAAATCTTAAAAAAAAAAAAAAAGATCGAAGAACCTGATGCATGAGTAACACTTACCATGCAGTCTAGAAGTGAAAAATCTGGCTTCCCAGACATTTATAGCCAGGGGAACTTTTTTCCCCAGGCAGACATACGAGGATACTCAAACACATATGCAGAGATGCTTACAGAAACTTTCTTATGATGGCCCCAAACTAGAAACACTGCATTAGCAGTGGAATGGATAAATAAAGGATAGTATGTCCATACGATGGAATACTATCCAGCAGAGAAAACGAGCAAAAGACTGCCACATTTAAAAGTGTAGCTGAATCTCACAGACAAATCTTTTGAAAGAAGCCAGACACAAAAGAGTATGTACAATTTTTGCTTTTAGGAAGTTCAAAGGCAGGCAAAACTACTCCAGGGTGACAGAAAGCAGAGCACGGGGCTTCTGCAGGGAGATTGACAGGAAGCAGCAAGAGGGAGGCCTCTGGGAGGCGGAGGTGTTTGATATCTTAATCTCGGGAGTGCTTACACAGTTGTGTGCAGCTGTAAAATGGTGTGCATTAACATTTGTGCACTTGAAAGTGCAGTTTAAGAAGCTAAGACGAAAGGAACGCCAAGCCAGGTCACACAGGCACCCCTTGGGGACGGCCAGGTTAGACCCATCAGCTACCCGCCCTCCAGAAGGGCTTAGGCATCATCAGGGAGGCTGAGGGCTTGGGCTCAGTGCTGGGAAACCAATCAGCTGAGCTCTCTGAGGGCTCTCCTCAGTTCCACAGACACACTCAAAGGGCAAATGGGCCTGTCTGTGCCTTCCCGGGGCCTGAGAGCTCAGCCACTGGAGACATGCTTTCAAACACTTCTCCCTCGAGGACATCTAGGCAGGCTCCTTCCTCCTTCTGGCCCAGAAGCCCTCCATGCCCTATACCTCAGTGACAATCCCACCTCTGCTCTGAACATGGCTTCCTTACCCCTTTGTGTGTTTCCTCAGAGAGGACGCCCTGAGGGCCCCGAGGCTCAGGGGTGCTCTGCTCTCCTCCCAGGGGCAATGGCAGAGCAGGGCCCAAAGCAGCCGTGGGCAGGGGCCTTGCTCCTCCGGATCCCACTCTTTCCTGGGCAGAGCCGTGGCCTGTGTAGTGCTGGCCCCACACCATGGCCCTCGAAGGCCCGGCCGCAGCCATAGCGCCCCTGACCCGCTCTGAAACGGGCTCCTGGCTTCTCACTCAGCAACCACTGAAGACAAGCCCCAAACGGGTATTTCCTGGGACCATTTCACTGTTTCTCTATCAATTCCCTTTTGAGGTACTTGAGTGGCTCTGGCCCCCTCGTAGCCATAGGGGTAGATTCCGGGGGTTGCAGAGTTCAGGCTGTCTTCCCTCCAGGAGACGGGGCAGGCCTTTGAGAGACCAGCGCTTGGAGCTCGGGTTTTCTGCGGAGTTTGAACCCGAGCTTCCCGTTGAGGCAGTTCCTGCTCTGTGCCTGACCCAGGAGGTTCTGTAAGAAGTGAACAAAGCACTTTGGCTCCGCAGATTCTACAGTCCTCTCCTAAGCAGGGCTGTCTCTTCACCCTGGGCTTGCCGAGCAGGCCCGGTGGGACAGATGGTGTAAAGCCAGGCTGAAGCCGGCCTGGACTGGAGCTACCGGTGGCCCATCTGCTGAGAAGGGGGCCCCGGTCTCCAGAAATATCTATACTCCTGGTGTCCTGCAGAAATAACCCTCTCATCCACGCTCCCTGTAGTGCCCGGGGGCCTAGCTGCCCTGGTACCCCTGTCGGCGACCTGGGCCGGCTGGTCTCAGGCACTGACTCTGCCGCAGGCTCCTTCACCCTCAAGTCCTCGCTGCTGCCTCCCGCGTGCCTTCCTTCACCTCCTTTGACCTCCCCACCTTTCCAGCTCCCCTCCCGGCTTCCCTGGCCGCTGACCCTGGGTCTTCAACCTGCCTTCTTATTCTTTTCTCACGGTTGGTTTCATGAACAATCGGCATGCAGCAGCCATCCCCACACTGGGCCCACAGCACGTGTTGCTGACCCCGCCTCTCTGTCTGGTGACTGCTGGGCAGGGTGGCCTCGCTGGTGTCCACTTGGGACAGAGAGGAGTCGGCGTTGCTCCGGCCCCAGGGGAGTAAACCCAAACCCATGACGGTGACGTGGCCTGCCTTCTGTGTCCCCAAGGGGCAAGGGAGCCCTCTTCCTCCATGTGTAGGGGCTCAGTGCTGCCCGCCATGGGGTAAATGTAAGGCACTCTGCCCTTCCCATGTCCTGGCATGCCTGGGTCTGGCTTTGGGATTCCACCCTGCGGCGAGAGTAGACCCAACTGGAAGTTCTGCCAAGCCAGACCCATCATCCTATTCCACGGGGCTCCAAGATGGCAGGCTTGGCATCTGCCCTTCGTATGGATCTCAGGTCATCCCCTAAGAGCAAGGCCTATTTCTCATGGGCCGTGGCAACCCCAGTGATAGAACCATGAATGGGCCTTGGGGCAGCTCAGAGTATCCTGGGTTTCAGAGGTAGACCCCCCTGGGCTCAACACCATGTACTAGATGTGTGACCTTTAGCACATTTCTTATCCTTTCTGAGCCTATTTCCTCTCTCATACAAGGACAATAACATGGACCTCACGGGGATAGTTGTGAGGCTTCAAGACAATAACAGAGTGCACAGACCAGGCATGAGGTAGGCTCACAAGGGCCATCTTTGTTGTTGCTCTGCTATTATAAAGGTTTGTTGAGTGAATAATTGCTTAGAGGTCCATTCACATGTTTACTGAAAAGATCTGTGTCATTCTTTGGCATTGACCATATTTGGCCTCATATTTCTGAGTGTTTTCTCACAAGTGCTCACTTTCACTCCCCAGCGGGGGTGGGAGCTCTTTGAAGCAGGCATGCCCCTATTTCAGTGCAGGCATGACAGCCCCACCATGGTACGCTGAGCTGAGCCAGTTGTGCACTTGGGTAATGTCAACAAGACAAGCAATGCAGATATTCACATGCTACGTGATGGGAGAGGTAGCTCACTTGAAAGCTGTTCCTGAAGAGCATTCATGGGAATCACCCTTAGTCTGGAGAGATCCAGACACAGGACGCAGGACTGTGCTCTGCCTGTTCTGCTCTGAGTCTCAGTGGGGGATTCGCGTGGAGACTTAGAAGGCATGTTAGGAAGTTGGCCTGTGAAGCATGTCTGCAAGGAAAACCTCTCCACGGGCCCAGAATTAAAATCCCAAAGATCATGATAGGCTGGAAACAGTTGAAAAGAATGATGAAATGCAATGAGCCTAAGTGTCAAGTTCTGCCTTCACATTTAGAAAATCAGTTGT